ACCTGTGTCTTGAGGTTTTGAGAGTTTTAAAGTGGTCATGTGGATACTAGCTCAATAAACGAACAGAAGGGCTGTAGTAGGGTTAAGTAAAGGAAGAGCTAAGTGGGGAGGCATGACATTTGGGGGGTGGACGTAGGGAGGAGGCAGGCAAGCTGAGGACCCTCATGACGGAAGGGTAAGGGGCAAAGGCCCTCCCAGCTGCTCTGTGTCCTTAATTTTATTCCCCTGGTGTCCTGTCCTCTCTCCCTGAAGATCTCTCCCCTTTGCAGTTTTAGGAGGTGGGTTTTCTCTCTTCCTGTTACTCCGCCATTGGAATCCCATCTGCCTACCATCTTCCAGAAGTTCCTCAAAATTTCTCGTTGGCTGATGGCACCCTTTTCTTGTTTTCCAGTTCTGTTATAGATCTATTCTATTTCTTATACCTTTGATGACATTTCCAGAAACTGTGGAGAAGAAGAAATAGAAAATAATGCTTCTTATTCCACCATTTCAGACAAGAGTCCCTGGACATTCTGAATACGTCGTTCCTTTCCCTTCCCTCTTGTGGGTAGAAAATCCGGGTAACTATTTGTAGGCTGGTTCTGCTGTCATTTCCCTGGGAAAGGAATTTAATATGTACTTCTGTGAGTACATTCCTTCCAGCCTAGGAGAAAACTGTCCCCTAGTCAATGAATGGCTCATGAATGGGGCAGTGGCTATGTCTGCAGGATTTCCTGGAGTTGGTCCAGACGTGGAAGACATTGGCCACAAGCTCCTGCCAGCCCAGATTTATGGGCTTGGCTTAATGGCCTCTGCCTCAAGCTCTGGTGGTTTTTAAGCCCATACTAGGTCCAGGAGTGTATGTCAGGTATCTACTCTGCAGAGCCATGAGGGATCAATAATGAATAGGGAAGGAAGGACTGGAGAGAACTGAGAGCCACTCGATGCCCTTCCAGCCTCTAAGTGGCAGAAAGAGTCTGGGGATTTGTTCCTGTGTTCACTCTATGTGAGTATATCTCCCGTCCCCATATACTCTTTCCATAATTACCCATGGAGTCCAACGTCCATCACACTGACACCTGAGCTTCACAGCCTTTGACAGACCCGACACATGCTAACATTCACTGAGCGCTCTGCTGGGCACTGTCCCGGGCACCTCACATGTGTTGTCATGTAATATTCTAAGTGACCCCATGATGTAGGTATGCTATTATCCCCATTTTAGACATAAAGAAACTGAGGCACAGAAGGGTTTAGTGACTCGCCTAAGGGCACACAGCTGTTATGTGACAGAGTCAGGATTCGAATCTGGTAGTCATGATCAAGTCACGCTACTTCAGCATTAGCCTTACTCTTCTACATGCCCTCTCCCAGTCTTCCCCAACAGTGACACTCAACAGGCTCAAGAAGCCAGCCAATGAACTGTTAACCCTCGAGAGGCAATTGGGCCAGATCCTCAGGCACCAAAGCACATCTGCCAGCAACAGAGACCAACGCAGAGCCCCCAGGATGGAGCCATCCCATGTCATGTGGTGGCAAATTATTTATACTGGACATCTTCCATTGCGGAAGGAGCAGTGACTCATCTTGATGGAAATGGCACATATTCTGGGTATCGGCTTGCCTTTCCTGCCCACGGGGCCCCACCCCGTACCACTATCTGAGGGCTTTCCAAGTATTTGACTCATTGACACAGAATCCCACATTAAAGTGCTTGGGACCAAGGGAGATGATACATAACAAAGGAGATGCAGCAGTGTGTATAGGAGCATGGAATCCACTGGTCCTATCATATCTTATGGTACCTTGCAGCTGCTGGCCTGACAGGGGGATGGAACAGCCTCTTGAAAGTGCCATGGAGGCATCGGCTTAGAGATGATGCTCTATGAGGATGGAATACTGTCTTGCAGGACACAATATACCCTTAAATCAATCCCCATCATATGTGCAATGTAGAAGGAATATGTCATTCTGAAATCAAAGAGTTGAAGGAGGAATTTGTACTTGCCCCACGTGTGGGGTTAGAGGTTCTGGTTCCCAGAGAGGCATGCTTCCCCCAGGGGATTCTTCCCCTGCAAGAATCCCATTCAACTTTAAGCAAAGTCTCCCACTTAGTAACTTTGGGTTCCTTGTATCAAGAGAGAGAGTTAGCATTCTGTCTGAGGAGTTGACCCTGAGCATCATGAGGTGGTAGGGCTGTTGTTATCTAATGGGGCACCCAGGTGATACACTGGACATCTCTTGGTAACCCCCTGTCCAATTTTGGTGTTAAATGGACAAGCAGCAGCTACATTTGGGGGGTGGACGTAGGGAGGAGGCAGGCAAGCTGAGGACCCTCACTGGGAAGGACACAGTGACTCAGGCATGGGGTCTGGATCATCCCACCGGGTAAACCATCTCGATTGCAGAAGTGCTGGCCAGAGGTGACAGGAACCTAGAATGAGTAGCAAGGGAGGGACATACTGGGCATCAGCGGTAGCTGGGAGACCAGCAGCAATAGCGGGGATTTTAGTTTATCCCACTAGCCAACCTCTTTTAAGTCTTCAAGGAAAAGACCAACCAGAATCCTGGAGAAACTGTTCCCAGATGGGATGGGCTTATTATATGAAGCAAGGGGATCTAAGAGGTGCAAGGGGTGGACTGTGGCGGGTGCTGTGATGTACCACCTGGACTCACCCTTCAGGACGGAGGCACACAGTCCCTCTGGAATGACCAGGAATGTTACCTGCTAAGAGCTCAGAATTGGGTCCCTGGCAGGAATTTCTTGACCCAAAGCAGCTGCCTTGCCCAAGAACATGCTCCCTCCTTGAGGGCAGCCCATGTCCAATGTGGCTGATGTGAAGGTACAAAAGTCCAGCTTTCCATGCCTCATTTTGGAACAACTCTAAGAAGCCATCCCAGCTCTGGAACCCCTACAGGGTCCACTGTGCTCAACTCCTCCCTCTGCCCATTCAAGCTTTACTCACTCCCTTGCCGGTGCTGATCTCAATAACCACTTGCACACTAATCTCCATCTCACATTCTGTTTTCCGAGATCCCCACCTATAACAGGGACCATGTCTATCTTGCTCACTACTGTATCTCCAGCATCTAGTACTAGGCCAGTGCCATAGTAGGTGCTCAAGAAATACTGGTTGAATAAATGAATAAACTGGTCCTTGTGGGAAATTTCCCTAAATTATTGCAACAGGAATTATTATTCCTTACCTTCAACTCACCCTACCCAGCATTGCCAGATTAATACTTCTAAAGTACCTCCCCTGCTCAAGAACTCTCAGTGGCTCCCCACTGCCTGTAGGCAATCCTTTTGGCCTGGCATTCAAGACCTCTAGGAAGTTTGCCCGGTCTACCTGTCCAACCTCAGCTTTTAGTTTTCACATATCTCACCGCAACAAACTAACAAGAAGGGACCATTAGCCTTCCTCGGACTCAGCTATGGCTTCCTCTTTTCATTCAGGTCCCTTCCTATGAAATATCCCACATCATCCCCAATCTGCCTCTGGGTCTTTCCCAATCCTTTACATCCTTAATAGAAAGGCAGTACAATGCAATTATTAGAGCCTCGGCTCTGGAGTTAGAAGGCCTGAGTTCAGACTCTGGCTCTGCCTCTTCCTGGCTGGGTCACCCAGGACAAGTCACTTTACCTCTCTGTGCTTCAGTTTCTGTATCTGTGAAATGGGATGAATAGTAGAATTCACCTAGGATATCTTGGGGGGATTAAATGAAATAGTCTAGGGTGCCTGGGTGGCTCAGTTGGTTAAGCGACTGCCTTCAGCTCAGGTCATGATCCTGGAGTCCCTGGATCAAGTCCCGCATCGGGCTCCCTGCTCGGCGAGGAGCCTGCTTCTCCCTTTAACCCTCCCCCCTCTCATGTACTCTCTCTCTCATTCTCACTCTCTCAAAATAAATAAATAAATCTTAAAAAAAAAAAAAGAAATAGTCTAGGGGCCAGATAGTAAATATTTTCTCTACTGAGACTATTCAACTCTGTGGCTCTATATGAAAATGGGCATAGTTAATATGTAAATGATGGGTGTGTCTGTGTTCCAATAAAACTTTATAAAACCAGTCAGCAGGTTGGATACAGCCCACATGCCATAGTCTGCCAATCTCCCAGGACAGAGTAACTTATTCCTACAACTGTGACTACTCTCAGTACTTTGACAAAAGCACCAATAAACTAACACTCGATTTGCATATGGTTAAGCCCACCCCTGCCTTGAGCTTAGGTTAGAAGGGGATGGGGGGCCTTGTTCCCCTCATGATGGTTAAGAGCATGGATGCTGTAGGCAGACAGACTCGGGTTCTTAGTTCCAGTACATACCATATGACTTGGGCAAATGATCTCACCCATTTAGTCTTGGTTTCAACGGTAAAATGGAGATTACAATCACTTGATAAACACATACCTCCCGGGGCTGCTGTGAAATGTCCAAGAGAAATGTCCAATCAATGCTAGATCTATTAATTTTTATTATTATTTCACATTATGACCTTCCAGCTATTGTGCTGGGGTTTTTTTAAAGATTTTATTTTATCTTTTAAAAGATTTATTTATTTGAAAGAGAGAGAGAAGTGAGAGAGAGAGCAGGAATAGGAGCAGAGGAAGACCCCAAGCAGGCTCTACACTGAATATGGAGGGAGCCCGATACGGGGCTCAATTCCAGGACCCTGAGATCACAACCCTAGCCAAAACCAAGAGTCAGATGCCTAACCGACTGTGTCACCCAGGTGACCCTTAAGATTTTATGTTTAAGTAATCTCCACACTCAATATGGGGTTCTCACTTACAACCCTGAGATCGAGAGTCACACGCTCCACTGACTGAGCCAGCCAGGTGCCCCTATTGTGTTGCTTTTGTACTGTCAGTCATTACAATTCTGATAACGGTAGTCCTCTCTGGCTGCATTATACCTCGTGATACCAGAAGCCCAAGTGTACCATCTCTGCATCCCCCCCAAGGCCATGAACATAGTTGACTGGCTGTCTTGCTGGATGACCAGAGCTGGGCATTTACTTACGACTGGGGGACCCCTCCAATCCCGAAGCCCACCAAGCCCCGGAGCACCAGGATCCAGCTGTACACGGGCGCGAAAGCACTGAGGATGCCATAGTACAGAGTCCAGAGCACGCTGATCTTCAGCCCCTGCAGAGAAGGAAGACACCAAGTCACAGGGCTTCTCAGCACTGCCAGGCCACATGGCCCCTGAACCTGCTGAAAGCCATCAATGGGGTCATGCTAAACAGTAATCCATACAGGAAAGGGAATACCAGGGATTCTCTGTATGATGCTGCCAACCCCTGAGGGCGGGTGGTGTGGGAAACCTGTGGGACATTCTTGGTTGTCCCAATGATCGGCATTTAATATATAGGGCCCTGAGATGTTAGATGCCCCACAGTGCACGAGACTCAATAAAGACTTGTCTTGCATCCTGCACCATTGCAAATGGAACTTTCCACTTGACTCTCAATGCAGGTGAAAACTCTATGATTGTCTGCACCTTGGCCTTCACTCTATTTTATATAGAAATAAGATTTGGGGGAGGAGCATAGTTTGAATATACACTTAATTTTGCAGGAATGCAACTTCTACGTAAATCAAAGGAAGTTTGTGTGTGGCTTGATCTGGAACTTTACAAAATTGCTCATCATTTCAGAAAGCCATGTTGTTAATAGCAACACTGCATATGGTGTTTGAGTCACTGAGGGAACACTTCAGTATCTGTCTGCATTCACTGGGTTTCTATGTTTATCTATGAATAGACTGATCTAAATCTATTTCAAAATGTCAAATATAAAGAAAAAAGCATCAACAAAATTCAGTTAAATACAAGTTTATTTATAACCAGGGACAAATATTAACTACTTCCTTTTATTATCCAGGCAATTGTGCATATGCATATTTGCATATTGAAAATAAACCTTATTTAATTAATTGCCTCCTTTAAAAAAATCCTCCATCATATCGTACTTGGGGCATTATAGCTGATTTATTTTATTATTTTATTTTTTTATACATGGCTTCTTTTAAAGATTATACAAGTGGCTACTTTATTTTATTTTTGAAATTATTTCTGGATAATTAAGGGGCATTATTAAAAGTTCTCATAACAATTTCTAAGTAACAGGAACATTGCTTTTGATGGGTTGAGAACCACCTAAGGACACAATGCTACAAGACAAACATGCATATTCCTGCAGTGTTAATTACTCTTAGAGATTGAGAAAAAATTAAGGGTGAATGCAATTTAAAATGTTATTTTTATATCAAAATGAACACCCAACATATTATGGAGTAGAACACAAATTTTACATGGATTTTAGACCTGCAACATGGTGTCTGGGCAGGTCTCTCCCTGCAGTAATTCTCCCAGATCCAGCTTTGAGTTCATTCTCCTATCCCCCTGGGGACACTTCAGGAGGACAGTGTGAAGCACACTGATTTTAGATTTAAAATTAAAATGAACTGGAGCACCTGGCTGGCTCAGTCGGAAGAGCGTGCAACTCTTCATCTCAGGGTTGTGAGTTCGAGCCCCATGCTGGGTGTAGAGATTACTTAAATAAACTTAAAAAAATTAAAATGAATTTAAAAGGACTAGTGAGGAAAACTGTCGGTCTGCCAGATGATTTCCAGTCTCTTGGAAAATGATTTTAAGTGGGAGAGGGAATATTTTAAATAACTTGCATTAGCTTGCAAGAAAGTGATTTCTTTTTCATTTCAATCATTATTCTTCTGATTATGTCCAAGAGAAAGGATCCATATGGAGCCAGTCTGTCTTTAACACCTTTTTGAACACCCACTAAGCTCTCTTTTTAACAAACAGGGCAGAGGGGCAACTGTAACCAACTAGAATTTAGTAACATTGTTTTATTTTCACTGTATTTATTTTTGCAGGTATTTCCTATTTAGGGCAATTGCTACTGATTTCCTATTTAAGACTCTCTATAAAGTTTCCTTTTTCAAAAACATGCATTTGAGGTGTTCTTTTTTTCTAAGATTTTATTTATTTATTTGAGAGAGAGAGAGCACCTGGGGGGGGGTAGGGGCAGAGGGAGAGTGAGAGAGAGTATCTCAAGCAGACTCCCCACTGAGCATGGAGATCATGACCTGAGCCAAAATCAAGAATCTGACGCCCAACTGACTAAACCACCCAGGTGCCCTGGTTTGTTGTTGTTGTTTTTAAGATTTTATTTTACTTTTAAGATTTATTTATTTCAGAGAGAGAGCACACAGTGGGGGTAGAGGCAGAGGGAGAGGGAGAGAATCCCAAGCAGACTCCTCGCCAAGGGTGGAACCTGACCCACGGCTCAACCTCACCACCCTGAGATCATGAGCTGAGCTGAAATCAAGAGTTGGCCGCTTAACCAACTCAGCCACCCAGGTGCCCTGTTTTGTTTTTTTAACGAAATGGGTATAGAGATCAATATTAAGTACATAACAAAACAGGTAGGATAGGAATTATTAAAGGCTAGGGCATTTCTGCACCCCTAAAATGCATAACTATGAAATCAGTAACTTGCCATATATACCTACTTCCTTTCTTTTGGCTTAAGCTAACTTAAGAGGGGTTTGCTTCCTTGGAACCCAAGGAGTCTTGAATCAGAAATAGGACATCACTGGGAACACCTGGGTGGCTCGGTCAGTTAAGGGTCTGCCTTCGGCTCAGGTCATGATCCTGGCGCCCCACGATGGAGCCCCACATTGGGCTCCCTGCTTAGCTGGGAGTCTGCTTCTCCCTCTCCCTCTGCCCCTCCCCCTGCTCCTTCTCTCTCTCTCTCTTTCTCTCTCAAATAAATAAATACAATCTTAGGGGAAAAAAAAAGAAATAGGACATCATTAGCAGCAGAGAAAATGAAAAGAGGGAAAACAGAGCAGGGGGAGAGGAGAGCATAGAGAAGAGGCACCAAGTCTGGTGCCTGAGAGCTAAGCCTCCCTCCAGGGACTGCCTGGGAGCTGCGTCATCCTGTTGGGGTTCCCGCGTGACCCCATGCCAGGCAACAAAGACCTGCATGTGACTTATTCTGTAGGGTCACAGCAGACTGCATCTGGCTCTGCATTGGCCTGCTGATGCCAGGGCTTTCCAGATGGCCAGGAAATGTGGGCTCAGCAACCATTTGTGAGTATCATCGTGGCTACGCAAAGGCATGGGCGCTGCCAACAAGCCCCATCCAAGCACTGCTCTGGACTCTGCAGAAATGTCTCCTGGGCTTTTGAGCTTTTTATTAACCACACTTATTCTGCTTAACATCTGGCCTGCCTTTCAGATTGTTGGCCCCTTCTCCCCCCAACCCCTCTCTTCCTCTCTCTCCTTTTCTTCCTTCCGTATTCATTTACTGAGCATCCCCTGTATGCCAGACTCTAGAGATAGAAGCACAGACATTATGCATTCATTAAAAATTGCTCATTCAGTTATTCATTTAACAGTAAACATATATCAAGTGCCTGCTGTATGCGAGGCACTAGAAATAATGCTATATATTATTCATTCATCCCATATACATGTATCAGACACCTGCTGTGTGCCTAGCACTAAACGGACAATATGCATCATTCATTCAATCATTTGTTCAATATGCATGTATTGAGTACCTGTCACAGGCCTGGCATACATTGAGTGCCTGCTGGTTGCTAAACACTGGACCTTGTCTTGGGCTATAGCAGGGAAAGTGACAGCCAGAGTCTCTGACTTCATGGACCTTTCATTCCCGTTTTGTAAATCACTGTCCCATGATTATGCTGGGTCCTCATAGCAGCCCGTGGAAAGAGGCTGCTATTTCCAGTCCTACTTCACAAATCAGCCCAGTGAGGATCAAAGTAGTGGAGTGATTTGTCCAGGATCAGCAGAGTCAAACCTGGAGTCAGGGCTTCCAACCCCAAATGCCGGGCTTTGAACGAGCCACTCCCCTCCTCCTGGGGCTCCCATCGCCTCTGACAGAGAACATACACGATGGTGTCATGCAACAAGGACAGGTAGGTCCGGGTGAATGCAAGAGAACTTGGCCTGTGTTGTCAGCCTCTACTCAGCTCTAGCCAAAATTTGCCATCACAGAATGCGGACCCCGGGTTGCCAGATAGCTCAATTAAAAAAAAAGAAAAAAAAAGACAATCCGCAACTCTTTATTTTTATGCATAATACATTATTTTTGAAACAGAGGCAGCTGATTCAAAATCCTGTACAGCGTTAATGGGTTAAATAAAACACATCTGTAGACGATGTTAGGTTCATGGCTCACTGTTTTACAACGTGTAGCCTGGAAAGGCTTCAAGCTTCTGCTCCAAGAAGCTGAAGGTCTTGCCACCAATTGGGTGCCAGGTCTGCAGCCTCCAAAATGAGCATGCTGATGTTATCATCATGAGCATTGCTCACCCCAGGAAGGTTGTCAGCTCCGCGACCCTGGTGTCCTCTGGGCATGCCCAGGACAAGGAAAATAGTCATGGGGCAAGGAGGCCTGGGGATCTTCAAAATATTGAGATGAGAGGCCTGTTGCCTGCCAGCCACCTCCTTTTCCCTCCTTACAGATAACATGAACCCATAGCTTTTGAACTAGCTAGTGACCTGATCATATTCTGAAATGTTTCTTCTTTGAGTCACAGCCAATAATAGTTACCATTGATCACGGGCTAACCATGGGTCAGTAAATACTGTTCTAAGTGCATTACCTCCATTTCTCATATAACCCTCCCAGCAACCCTCTGAACTATTGCTCTTGTCAACCTGACTTTACAGATGGGGAAACTGAGGCTCAGAGCGGTGAAACAATTTGCTTAAGGTTCCCTCACTCGACAGAGGGGATGGAGCATCTTCATCCCGGCAAGGCCACACACCCACAGCTGCCCTTCCTTTGTGAGGCTGCCATAAGCCCCCAGGGTACAGAAGCTTCTGTAGGAATCAAAGTGGCCCACTGAGTTCTAACCCCTTACTTGAGTCCCTTGCAGAGTCATGCAGTGGACGCCCTCCCAGAAGCCTCCCAGCTGGGTGGAGGCACATCAAGGAGCTAGGAGGAGATTCTTGGCACTTGCTAAAGCTCACCAGCTGCCAGGCTCACCCTCTGTTTCTGGAGGAGTTCTACAGAAGCTTTATAATTAGAACCTGATCCATCCTCCCTGCGGTTGGGCCAGAATTCCATGCAGGGAAGAGGGGGCCCTGCAGTCTGGGGGCGCTTTTCTCTTCTCTCCGGTCGGGAGAGCTAGAGGACCACTCTATAGGCACCCTTTTAGGCTTCATCTGTTTGGAATGGATGAATGTTGAACTGCTCAACTGAACTCGGGGGGACAATTCAGTTATATCTCACAGCAGCCACGGATGTGGACTCTGGAGCCAGACACACCTGCATTTTAACACTGGCATGACCATTTATTGTCATGAGCTTGGCAAATGATAGAAACAATGGGCATTTATGAATTGCTTCCTCTGGGCCAAGAGCTTTTTGTGCAAAGGCCCATTGACTCCTAGAATGCCTCTGTGGAAGGGATACTCTTATTATCTGACTAACAGATGAGGAAACTGAGGCACAGGGAGGTTGAGTAACTTGTTCAGGGTCATGCATCCTGTCTGTGGAGGAGCCGGGATTTGAACCTTGGCAGTCTGACCTCAACGTCCATGCTTTCACAAGGATGGCACGTTAGCATTTCCTTTATCCAAATGAGCACTGGAGGTAAATAGGAAATTAGGGCGGAGCAGTCCCAGGTGATGCAATACGATGATGCGGAATGAACTCTCCACAATAGTGCAACTTGGCATCCCCTGTGCATTCACCCTGAAGCCTGGTTTCTCAATCCTGGTGCCCTTCACAGTTTGGAATGTCCTGTGGACTTTGGGAAATCGAGCAGAATCTCTGACTCACTAGGTGCCAGGAGCACCCCTCCCCTCCATTGTGACAACCAAAAAAAAAAAAAACGTCTCTAGACATTGCTGAGTGTCCCCGGGGACGAAGGGGGAGACAAAAATCTGCCTACTCCCTCCCCCAGTGAGAACTACTCTTCTAGAAGTTGCCAAAATGTGTTCAGAACTCACAAGATTCAGTAAATGGCATTACTGAAAACCCATCTAGGAATCTTTTTAAAATCTGAGCTCTAGTTTTCTCCTCCTCATCATAAAACGAAGACATCTACATCCCCTACCTCCTGGGAACACCGTCGGCGTGACTGACGTTAGTGGCAGAATGAGCATGCTCTTTGGAAGGATGTCAGGATCGTAAACTAACAACCTTTTGGGGCTTCTCGGTAAACAGAAAACACTCATCAGTAAAGTCCCTTGCTGGTCTGGAGAGGATGAGAGAGCGGCAGAGAGTGGCAACAAGGAGATCTGATTTTCATCCATCCAGCTCAGCCACTCGAAAAGTATTTATGGAGTGTCTGCTATAAGGCAGGTGCTCTGCCAGGAGCCCGGGGCCACCTCGGGAGAAAACAGGCACAGCCACCTTCCTCATGGGGTTTACCGCACTCACCTGGCCACCCTCCTGCCCCTGGCAGACATCACTAATCGATCACAGCACTGTCCCACTGAGCCTTCCCACTCCTCAAGTCCATGTGTCTGGCATCCACTACTGAATGACTAGAACAGACACACAAGGGACAACAAACCCATTTGCCCTTTAGTTTCAGGAATTCAATAAATGGTAGCTGTTACTATCAGCTATTACTAATCCAATCTCCCCTGACATAAATAAGGAAACTGAGGCCCCAAGAAAGGGGAGTAACTTGCTTTCGTCACCCAATGGCAGACCCAGGCTCCAAATGCAGGCTATTTTCACTCCTTCCCCCCTGTATTCTTCATGGCTTCATGATTCAGCAATTGGGTAACAGAATTTGGGGCACAGTAAAGTTCCTTGTGACAGGTTCCTGCATTTTTGTGTGTGCATATGCATGTTTGCCTCAAGAGCAAGTAAATAAAAAATGTTTTTAGGCGGAAACAGAGGGGACAAGTCGTCCACCCCATGCCCAGTCTGCACAGGAAGAGGCCACATGAAGACTTTAGAAGAGCTTTCTCCTTTGATTATTTTAAAACTGCAAAGGCTAACGTTAGGTCCAGCCTCAGCCACATATTTGCAGTTTTCAATGCCGAAGTGCCACCCAAGAATGGCTCTGCTTCATTTTAAGAGGGCTTCCCTTCCCTCCCTCCCTCCCTCTCTTTCCTCCCTCCCTCCCTCCCATCCTTCCTTCCTGCCTTCTTCCTTTCCTTCTAACCTCCCTCCCTTCTATCCACCCTTTCTTCTATTCCTCCCTCCCTTCCTCCTTCCTCCCTCCCTCCCTCTCTCCAGCTCTGGCTCTGTTCTACCTTCCAACCAGAAAATTGCTGAAGCAATGGCTTACACCCTCCAGAAAAAGGAAGGGGGGTGGGAGGGGGTGTATGGACAGAGTTTAGAGAGCTACAGCCTGAAAACCAGAGTCACCTAGGTTCTATTCTCTTTGGGAGGCCTGGAGAGGTTTTCCCAGCTGACCTCTGCAGCCTCTAAAACCAACCAGGAGCCCCTGTGCTATAATGGCTGCAGTTGGTTTCCCAGCCTGGTCACCTCTGGTCCTGCCCCAGCCACTTATTGGTGGTTTTATAAGTCAATGTCTCCCAAGTGCCTGCTGGCCCACGTGTTTCCTGTCCAGCCACAGTGGGAGGGGCTGCAGCTGGACTGCACTGTTCAACCATCCATCTATCCATCCATCCCTCCAGCCATTGAGCCAACATACATTGATTGAACATCTACAGATTCAAGCCATAGCATCATGGTTAAGGCAAGAGTCTAGACTTAGAAGGAGTGAGACGTGGCTGTGTGACATACAAACTGCATGGCTTGGGCAAGTTGCCCACACCCCATGCCTCAGTTTCCCCTTCCATAAAATCAGATTGATAATAGTACCGGTGAGCTGATGCATGTATCATGCTTGGTACAGGGCCTGCCATACAAGGCACTGTGTTATTTTCAGCCTGTGGCATGCTGGTTACAGTAGACCTCACCTGTTACCTCCTCAGCATCCATCTCTCCCTTCTTCTTTCCTAACAGAATTCTAAGTTTGTTTAGATATCTACACTAGTCTAAGTCAGTTCTCAAAGTATGGGCCCCCGACCAGCAGCATCAGCAACCTCTGGAAACTCCTCAGAAATGCTATCATTGCAATCCAGTTCACATGTGTCCTGTGCCTATGATGTATCTGGCATTGTACAAAGCCATTCAGACCTAGGTTCTCAACGAACCCTCTCAATAACCCTCCGTTATTTTTTTCTTTATACGGAGGAGGAAATTGATGCTCAGAGAGGTCAATTCACTTGCCCAAGGTCACACAGCCAGGAGTGGCAGGATCGTGACTGAACCCAGATCCACCTGATTCCAGAGCCCAAGCATGTAACCAACTACACCACCCTGCCTCCAGAGAAGCTGCAGATTGAGGAGGAGAGTCCAGGAAAGAGAATAATAAAGCAATCAGGGGGTGCGATCACTCAGAATTGCACAATTAGTCCTGAGCAGGGCACTTAACCAACTAGAGCTTGCCTAGATTTATAGAGATCTTTTCTCCCATCAGGCCCAAGTTTATGGTTTGGAGGACTATAATTTCACCTGCTGAAGGATTCAAAGCACCCAGGGGCACCCTAGCAAAGCAAGAGCAGTGTGAAATACAAAGGGGACCATGGAGTAACAAACCGATAAAACAGTAAGAGCTCAATGCGATGCCAGACCTGTAAGTTCCCTCCTTCCTTCTTGTTTACAAATCCATTTCATGTCATATCTGAGGCTGGGCTTCCCCCAAAGCAGACCCTGACACAATAATTCTAGTACAAACAGTTTATTTAGATGGTGATCCCAGGAGGAGTGGGGAAGGCAGACAGGTTCCCACGGTGGGCCCCGGAGTTCAATGCTGCTGGGATTGAGGGATGATTCATTTAGGGCCAGAAAGTTGACGTCTTTATCTACCAGCCCTTGACTGCCCCCAGCCTCGTGTAAGGGAATGGTGAGTGCCAAGGGGACCGGGGTGGGCACCATTAGCATCTTCGGCATTCTGAAACGTACACGCTTGGGCCCCACTAGGCATGTGTGATTTCGAGAGTCCACGGCCTCAGAGCAATGTCTTCTCATTGCATTTCGACAGAGCTAATTGGGCCTCCCCAATGCTAAGCAGCACTGTTTTGCTACTTGTCAACGCCACCATGGAGATAACCCAGAGGACATGCACTTAGGAGAGGTTGCCTTACTGTTTTCCTGCCGTACTGGTCTGAGATGTTTCCCCAGAGCGTGGAGCTGGACATCATGCCGACAAAGACTACCTGTGGATGGAAAGACAGGGTCTGTTAGACAGTGACACATAGCATCGCAGAGAAAAGGAACAATGACGTGAACCTGTCATATCACATCCTAGTAACACTAATGAGCCAACACTGGCTGAGATCCTGTGAAGGTACAAACACCGTTCTGTGTGCTTCATGTTATTGTTTAAGCCTCACCACAATCCTGTGGGGTGGGTGATATCTTATCCCCAGGTGACAGAGGAAACCGAGACTCACAGGGGGACGTCCCTTGCCCAGGGTCACACAGGTGTAAGCAGGACAGCCTGGGCTGGAATCAGGCAGTATAACCACAGAGCTGGCATCTTGCCAATTTCTCGCCATAAGATCAAAGGTAGAGTTTGGAGGGTGCGAGAAACAGAAGACAGAAGGTTGGGATGAGAACTGTAAGCTATTTGTAAGAGGAAACACTCATGGAGTGCTCACGGTGTGCCCCGCAATTCACTGTTACCTTGTTAATTTTTGAACAGAGCCGATGAGGTTTGAATGATCATACCCATTTTATAGATGGGGAGCCCGAGGCTCAGAGGGTTAAAAAACCTGCTCAGTACCCTGGGGGGAGAGGGGAGAGCCAGGTCTTAAATCAAGGAAGGCTGAGTGGAGCTTTCAGCCTTGTGTCCTATCCTTACCCTCTGCAGGTGTGGGACAGCACGCTAAATGCTTTGTACTCACATCTTACCTAATGTTCATGGTGGCCTTACGAGATGGGTGCCATTATCATCCCCGTTTTGCAGATAAGGCAACTGAGGCCCAAAGAGGTGAAGGCACTTTTCCATGCAATATATGTAAAGCTCTTTGCACAGTAAGAGCTCAAGAAATATTAGCTTTTGTACCAGTGCTGTCTGACCCCCAAACTGCAGGCATGACCTGGGGCAGCGGGCTGCAAACGGGGGTTACACAGAGGCAGGTGCTCCAACCAGACATGGCTATTCTTAAAGGAATTAATTTCCAGGTCCTCAACTTCCATACAGACTCTTTCCTGAGAACAGGCTAGGGGTCTCGCCTGTTCCCTGCCCCACTCTCCCTTTCTCAACCACGCCTTCTCGCTTCTCACTACCTCCACCTCACAGGCCAGTGCTTTGAGGTTAAACCCTCTAGGACGCCTCCAAACGGACACCAATGACAAGTTACAAATCCTTTTGCGAGTCATCTTGCTTCCAATTCCTTTTTAGTATTTTTAACCAAATTGAAAGAGAGCCTAATCAAGCTGTCAGCAAATTAGATCACTAAAAATAACCTTTCATAAGCAGTTGCTGTGTGCTCTCCAGCATATAACTTGGAAGTTGCTGAAAAAAAAAAAACCAAGTGGCATTAGTTTATTGAGTTATTACCAGACTCCTTCAGAGCCCCCTCAATTTTTATATGAAACAAAGTAAAAATGAAAAATAGGAAAGGAATTGCCGCTAAGCCCTATCTCACTTTAATAGAAAGTCATCATCCAAGAATACGGGATGTAATTGGGAGACGCTCCACACCACTCATTACAAGGTAGATTCCTGATAAAAATTCACTTGTGTTTAACAATTATTTATCAAAAGTAATTCTTTCTTTTTTTTTTTAAGTAATGCTTTCTTGTTTCGATCTATTACATATTACTAAAAACTATCATGGTAACTCAGTCCAGGAGAAAAATGTCAACACTTAAGAGCCTATGAGCTCAGAAAATTAAAAGCAATAATTTAAAATTTATGTATTCTGTCCCAGAAAATTCTGACAGGTGATAAATGGCATGGTTTCAAGTAGAGTAAAACATTGCTACGATAAAATGTGGAGATATGGAATGGAAATGCCAGTCCAAGAAGAAAAGAAAACAAGGCAAAATTTCCAAATACTTCTGAAGACCTTATTCGTATTATTTTAAAACAGAGGACAGCAGGTATCAGGTAAGTATTTCAATTCCATTGGGCACATTTTAAAAAGTGATATGAAATTTTACTCAGTTTTTAAAATGTTTCAATACACCAGAAATCATCGAATCTGCAACCTGCAATTTAAAAACATTTAACATTGGGGTGCCTGGATGCGACTCTTGATTTTGGGATTGTGAGTTCGAGCCCCACATTGGGTGTAGAGATGACTTAAATAAATAAAACTTAAAAAAATAAAAACATAAAAACATTTAAGGTCAAAAAAGTTTTTAAAATAAAAATAAGGGGTGCCTGAGTGGCTCAGATGGTTAAGCGTCTGCCTTCAACTCAGGTCATGGTCCCAGGGTCCTGGGATCAGGCTCCACATCGGGCTCCCTGCTCGGCGGGGAGTCTGCTTCTCCCTCTTCCTCTGCCTCTCCCTACTGTTCCTGCTGTCTCTCTCTATCTCTGTATCTCTCTGTCTCAAATGAATAAATAAAAAATTCTTTAAAATAAATAAGAGTAAAATAAAGACATTTAATATCCATTTTAAAATCTATGAGAGTCCTGGGGCCTGCATAGTTTTTAGAAAATTCTTTTCTAGATAACCTAGAGCAAAAATGTTTGAAGATTGCTGTCTTGGGGTGAAGTGTTGCCTTAATCATGTGCTAAGGGATATCCCTGCCCCCCCTGGAAGAATTAAGCATTCCCCGCAAACACGCAATTCCCCCATATTCCCTCCCCGGAGGGAGGGATCTAGGCACAGCAGAACACCAGTTTATACCACGGTAATTATGGTAATATTGCACCGTATTTCCTATGACAACAATGTGGGTCCCTCTTAACCTCCTTATGTACATTGTGCAGGTAAAGCAACTCCCGCTGTGTTCTAACTTTCCCACAGAAGCTTGGCCAGTAAATGGTGATTGTTACAGCCAAGAAGGCTCCACACTGCAAAAATACAGCCCTGTGGGTATGCTTCAGGAGGGTATCAGTGCTGATATCAGGCCTGGTTGCTGAAGGCGCTCAAGCCATTCCAGAACACTTACAGCATCCTGGGAGGTGCTCCTGGTTAGCAATGACTGTACTCTGCCAGTAGCTAGGCTGTGTGACCTCTTGTGAGTGACTTAACCTCTCTGTGCCTCATTTTCCTCAGCTAATAGTAGTACTTACCTCCTAGGGTTGTGAGGATTAAAGAGCACAATATATATTATGCATAGATTGCATGCAATATAAGAGCTCAAGAAATATTAGCTTTTGTACCATTATTATTACCCTCTTATCCAGCCTGGCCATTCCCCTCCCTTTTAGAGGGTTGCCGCTGGACTCCCCTAACAAATATTGAGGGTTCTCCCTCACTCTCCGTCAAGTCTTAATTCAGGGAGCAGCGCTCCCTACCATTTATTAAACCTCTACTATGTGTCAGGCACGGTGTTGTTTCAATCCTCAGATCAGTGCTCGCTTCGGCAGCACACATACTAAAATTCAATCCTCAGATCACCCTTGTGCAAGAGGAACTGGCATCTCCTTTTTGCCATCAAGTGAGGTTAGGAGGTTTATGTGCAGGTGGGTTCCAACTTCCCAGCAATTGAGCAGAAAGTCTGGGACCCCAGGTCGTGGGACCCCTGGGTGGAGCAGTGTTGGCTGCAAACCTGCCAGGATATGCAAGGTGCACAGCGGAGTAAAAGGAAGCTGGGGTCCCCATTGTTTCCAACCAGGGCTTAATTCTTTCCTGCTGAGCCCTTGCCAGCAGCAAGAGAGGGAGACACCCCACAGAATACCCTAGGGGATGTCCTGAACGCGCGTGACCGGAGAGAGCGGCAGGGCTGCCTACCGAGGTCAGCAATGCAACCTGCCAGCTGGGGAGGCCCCATTCGCAGTGTAGCTGTGGTGCAAGGATGCTCAGGATCATCATTTCCATGGCATCGGCCATCTGCAGGGAGGAAGCAAACATTGTGAGGCCAGGATCTGCCCAGGGCTGGGGCCGGCTGCGCCCAAGTCCATGATCCCTGGGAGAGCATGCAGAACCGCCCTCTTCCACTGGCTGCTGAGCACCCTTCTGCACATCAAAACACACTGAAACGTCCGGTAGTTCAAACAGTGTGGTACCACGTGGGAATTGACAAGTAGGCATTTAACATTCTGTGTGTTTCTGTGTTTAAAACAATAGGGGCATTCCCCAAATGAAGTGGGGAAACATTCTATCTCTAAAATCTGAGAAAACCTTTTGTAGAGGTAGAGAGACAATGACCTTTTCTCTTTAGCTCAATTAAAGACCAGTTTATCTTTGGTTTATAAACCTCAGGCAGAACTGTCAGTATATTTAACAAGGACGACCTTTTAATGTATTAACACACACCAGGAAGTCGCAGTAATTACACATCGTGGTACCTTTATGAGACGAGACAGAAATGAGAGACCAGAAGCAGACCCACATGGCCGTGAGAATGTGATGGATAATGCAGGTGGCTTTTTAAGTTAGGGGGGACAATGGTGTGGGGAAACTGGAGATTCATTTGAAAAAAATAGGTAGTTTGGTCACCATCTTGCAGCATTCATAAAAGTCAGTTTCAATTGTATTAAAGGTCTAGATGTTTTCTTTGCTAGAGGTGGATTAGGGGATTTTTAACAAAGGATCATGAAATTCTTGAAGCAGGAGGCACATTTTTATTTGTGCATGTTTATCTAGGGTGAGCTCCACAGACGACATCATAATCTTATGGCAGCCCTGAGTCCCAAATGGTTGAGAACCACCACTTAATTTAGCCAGAAGCTTCAAATCCACCTTGAGGGCAATTGCCAACTACACTCAAACTCTTGCCAAGGCTGGATCTTCATGATCACCGGGATCACGCAACATAAACTTTTGTTGATTCAAGCAAAGGCTCCATGTGGAGGGAACTGTGTCCTTCCTTATGGCCCCTGGAAGCCAGTTGGGCAGCATGAGGTTTCCTGGAGACTGAATGTGAGGTTACCACCCCCAGAAATACTTGCCCAAGCCAAGCCAGTGAGAACAGACAGCTTCCACTGAAATTTTCCAAACCCAATGGCTTCCACTGCATCTTCCACCATGAAAGTATCTGGAAAGGAGAGAGAGAGAGCGGGGGAAGGAATGAGTGCATCCTGCACTTATCCTCATGTGGGGGGTTTGGGGGGTGGTCTATAACCAAGCTTAGTAAAGACAGCACACACTACTTCTAGAAATGTTATCCTAGAGAAACACTCCTGCAAATGTGAAGAGATACCTTGCTACAAAGTCCACTGCAACATTGTTTGTAAAAGGGAAAAAAGGAAAACCCAGAAAGTCTATCAACAGGGGTTGGTTAGATAAATTATTATATATATCAAAATCATATATACATGTGTATATATCAACATTATGAAATACGACCTGCCTGTTAAAAAGAATGTGCAGATATAGGAAGATGCACCCAACATATTGTTAATTAATTTTTGAAAACAAAGCAAAATGCACAGCATATTTAGTATGAGTCTCTTCTGGGAAATATACACGCCTATTTGTATGTGTATGCATGTGGACGGATGTTTGTGTCGGTGCATGGAATGTATACCAGACTTTACATTATGGTTGCAGTTTTGTTGTCTTTGGAGAGAGGAAGGGAGAGATATTATGAGATTTTAGCTCTCTTCGACAATGTATGGCTTCATAGTCAGGAAAGAAAGAAAGACTTTTTAAAAGCAAAATGCCACTGCATTTGGATGGAAAGCTGTCCACATTATATTGTGAAGTCAAAAAGGTAACTGGGGAGAGGTATGTATCGTTTAGAGTGGTCTTTTGATAAAATTAGGTGTGTGTGTGTGTGTGTGTGTGTGTGTGTGTTTGTCCTCACACGCCATGCAGGAGAAGTAAAATTGAATGTCCACAAACTGTTAATAGGGTCATCTTTGAGGATGGCACTCACTTTCCCACTTTGTACCTTTCTCTAGTGTCGAAATGCCTTCCAAAGGAACATGTGTTATTTGTGTGCTCAGAAAAAGTAGGATGTAATTGATATGCTAAGAAGTGTTTTTTGAAAAATATGGAAAGACCAAACACAATCTAGTAGGCTGGACGGTGTCCTGCAACAACACAGCTGGAAAAACCGGTGAAATCTGAATAAAGTCTGGGGTTTAGCCAATAGCATGGCACCAGCGTTCATTTCTTCATTTTGACAAATGCACGGTGGCCAGGTGAGATATTACCACCAGGAGAAGCTGCATGAAGGGCATGTGGGAGCTCTCTCAACTATATTTGCAACTTTTCTGTAAATCTACAAGGGTTTCCAAAAAAAGTTAATTACAAAATAAAAATACTAAAGGAGCGCCCTGGGTGGCCCTTCTGTGAGCTGCCTCTGAGGCTCTCATCAGCCCCTGCTGGGAGTTGTCATCTTTGTAGAATTTCAATCATGGGCCTCTTGCATCAGTCATAATTTTCTCCAGAAGTGTGAGCTGGTGTTTACCACATCAGCAGGGGCTGGTTTCCTCCAGCAAACAAATACTGGGGAGAAAGCAGAGTGAGTCCTGGAGAGTCATCAGTAAGAAGAAGAGTAATACATAAAGGTGCGCGTCTGATTGCTCACCGTGGGCCAGGCACCATACAAAGACCTTGATGTTCACTGTCCCATTTAGTCCCTGTCTCAGCTATTAGTTCAGGCCCAGTCCCAGCTCCCTGTTGCAGAGGAGGACATGGACTTGCTCAGCGTCACACAGTGGCGGCACTGTAGCTCTGGGCGCTGAGCCCAGATCAGCCTGGGAATGAAGCCAGTGCCCCCAACCACTGCCTGCCCCCACCCCCAGCCACTGCATCCTTAGATCTCCCACCCCAGCCAGGTTTAGGGCTTAAGACATTAACCCTTTCTCATGTTGGGAATCTGGGGCCTTTCGGGAATGCCTGTAATGTTTTTGTCCATCAGCATCATGTGTGAGGGGAGACCAGGTCCGAAGGCCCCACCTCAGGTGTCTTATTTGACCAGCTCTACTCAGAGGAGCACAAGGTCATGGGTCTGAATATGTGCTCTGAGGCCAGACTGCCTGGCTGTGGACCCAGCGTTGCTAATTCTTAGCTGTGTGACCCCGGGCAAGATACTGAGTCTTTCTGTGCTTCAGTTTTCTCTTCTGCAAAAGGGGGAAGATGAGCATAATAATTCCAACTGGAACCGGTGTGAAGATTAGATGGGTCATATGTGTAAAGTGCTTCGCACGGTGCCTGGCCCAGAGTAAATCCTCGGCCGATGTCAGCTGCTCCTGTCACCATGGTCATCATCACCCTCATCACCACCAACCACCATCATCATTACACTATCATCACCACCACCAGCATCGTCATCACCACCAACATTATCATCGCCATCACCATGATCATCACCACCACCATCATCATCCTCACTCTCATCCTCCTCCTCCTCACCATCATCATCATCATCACCACCACCATCACCACCACCATGATCATCACCATGATCAGCATCACCACCACCACCATCATCATCCTATCATCCTCCTCCTCCTCACCATCATCATCACCACCACCATCACCATCACCACCACCATGAGCATCGTCATCACCATCACCACCACCATCATCATCTTCATTATCATCCTCCTCCTCCTCACCATCATCACCACCACCACCACCATCACCATCACCACCACCATGAGCATCGTCATCACCATCACCACCACCATGAGCATCGTCATCACCATCACCACCACCATCATCATCTTCATTATCATCCTCCTCCTCCTCACCATCATCATCATCATCACCACCACCATCATCACCATCGCCACCAACATTATCATCGCCATCACCATGATCATCACCACCACCATCATCATCCTCACTCTCATCCTCCTCCTCCTCACCATCATCATCACCACCACCACCACCATCATCACCATCGCCACCACCATGATCATCACCATCATCATCACCACCACCATCATCATCATCCTCACTATCATCCTCCTCCTCACCATCATCATCATCACCACCACCACCACCACCACCACCACCATCACCATCGCCACCACCATGATCATCACCATCATCACCATCATTGTTGCTGCTGCCCTCAGCTGAGTGTTATGCAATGAAGCTGACTGGCGGGGATTGTGATGTAACCTTATCTGCTGGAGAAAGCCATGTAGGCCCAGCCCACACTTCCAGCGTCACCTCTGGGCCCTCCGGGCCCTCCTACCTCCCCCTTCACTAGATGCCTCTGAAAGCAAGATCTGGGGAGATAACTGGCACTTCAGAGCCCCTGACTGTGGTCCAGGCTGATGTCCCAACTGCAGAGCCCTCTCACCGTCAGTGGGATTAGCAAACTCCTTGGGCACAGCTGCCCCATCGTCCAGCTCGACGGCCTCTAGGCCCACGCGGACCCCTTCAATCTGGACCTCATGCTCTCCCGAAGCTGCGTCATCCTCTGACCTTGCACTCTCGCCTGTGCGACGGAATTTCACCACCCTAGAGGACAGAGCAAATCTGGTCATGATAGCTAGAACGTCACTTCGATGGCTTTGCTGCACAGCTCTTGGGCCCAAGACAGGTGAAAGGCTTTTCCTCATGGTCCAGAGAATAGAATGGATGTGGGGGGAGGGGCATTGGCATTTCTATTGAGTTGGACTGGTGGGGTGTGTGACAGCTTCAAGAGTTGCATATCAGGGCTGCCACATACATTTGTATAGGTTGGGCACTGCACAACTCCAGGGGGGCCCTACTCACATGTTAGGCGATGTCAAAGAGAATTTTTTGTTCTAGATGTAAATACTGTTTGGAATCACATGTGTTTCAGAATTTAGATTTGTCTCTCTGTATGGAATGGAGGTAACAATTTAGTTACCTAGGGGTTACATTATGCCCACAAAAAATTGCCCACACAGTATTTTTTTAACTTAAAGTGGATGCCCATGTTTTTAAATTGGGAGAATTAATGTAAAAAGCCAGATTCCTCATGTCTCTTCCAAAAGTAAAGTATCTGGGGAACCTGGCTGGCTCATGTAACTCTTGATCTCAGGGTTGTGGGTTCGAGCCCCACACTGAGTGGAGTTAAAAAAAAAGAGTAGAGTATCTGGTCATCTGGGGCCCACATTCCTGTAAGGGATCCATGTGGCTAGATCTGTCCTCCCTGTAGACAGGACGCACCATGTTGATCACAATCTCTTCCTCTCCAAATTACCTCTAGCCCTGAGGGTCTCTTGCCATTTATCCTCATATGTGTTCTGTGTTCCTCTTACTTGGCACTTAACCATTTGTCTGGCCTTGTAGGCCTTTGAGTTTGAGACCCATTGACTCCATTTTGCACACATTCCTTCAAATTATGCTATTTCTTGTTACTTTGGACAAGGCTTGATTTCTCTGAGCAGCAATCTCTTCATCGAGGGGCTCAGCAGCGAAATTACCTGTGTCTTTCCAACCCCCTCACTCCCAAACACAAAACTCCTGCGGCTATCTGTCCTGTGCTGGGTTTTGGGGTCACAGCAGAGACAAGATAGAGTGTCCCTCCCATCACAGGGGAGAGTGATATTTTTTAAAAAATATATTTCATTTATTTACTTGAGAGAGAGCAAGTGCGAGAGAGAGAGAGAGAGCGCGCACACAGGAGAGCGAGAAGCAGAATCCCTACTGAGCAGGGATCCCAACACGGGGCTCCATCCCAGGACCCTGAGATCATGACCTGAGCTGAAGGCAGACGTTAAACAGACTGAGCCACCCAAGCGCCCCAAAGGAGTGATATTAAATGAGTAATGCCCATTCTTATCAGGGCTTTGAAAAAAAGAAGTGTGGGATGTCATGGACATGAATGGCTAGGGGGCAAATTTGGGCAGTGTTTTAACAAGGTAAAACAGGAGAAATATCTAAGTAAAACATACTGCTATTATTATTATTATTTATTACTTAATTAATTAACTTGCATTCTTCCATGTATTTCACCAAAGAATAAATGGGGCTCTGGCATAGAAAGGGTAAACTTGGAGAGGAGAAAACCATAGATGAAATCACAGCAATTTTGTAAATACCTGAACCCCCACTCGCTGACAAGGTTGGGGCCTGGAAAGCTTGGGCTAGAACTGTAGCGCGGAGCACAGAGCCCCGGGTTTGCAGGCGGTCGGGTCCCACTGAAGCCTGGAGCTAACACTCCATCCCATCTAGCACCACCACCACGGTCCAGCAGCATCAAGCTCATGTTCCAGCTCTGTGCTAGCTCGGTGCTAGCTGGCGTTTTCCATGCACTTGATCTGCTGAGGTTGGGATCATGACCACCCCTTTCCAGACAAGAAAAATGGAGGCCCTAGACGTCATGTGACTCGCCCACAGTCACACAGCTCAAGAGACACTGAGCCAGGGTTCTGCCTGATGCATGTCAGATCAAACCCTTGTATTCCCGGCCAAAAACAGGATGCTCCCCCTCCAAACCCTTCTATTGCTCCCTACCTACTCTAATTTTTATTCCATAAAAATATTTTATTTTGAGATGTTTGAAGCATATACAATTACATAGAAAACAATGACAGAAATATTTTTGCTTCTGCCCGTCCAGCTTAAGGACCAAACACTTCTATTAGGTTGAACCATGGAAAATTGCCAGCATTCGACCATAATTCAGTTGAAATCACTGTGACTCCTTTCTGGTTTCCTTCTCCCACATCTTCATGGGTAATGCTCATCCTTGATCAGTGGTCTTTACGGGCATCATTATTTGATTTAATCCTCACAGAAACCATGTGGTGGTGACTATTATCATTCCCACCTGGCTAAGATATATCTAAAGTCACTCTGAGCCTCAGGGTACCTCCTCTCTAAATTGGGTGTGATAATTGTGGCATAAATTGGATTCCTTAGAAGCAGAGCCTAAGGTAGGATTCTTTTTTTTTTCAGTTGTGGTCAAGTATACACAAAATAAAATGTGTCATCTTCACCAGTTGTAAGTGTATAATTCTGTGACATTAAGCATGTTCACACTGTTGTGCAACCATCACCACCATCCATCTCTAGAATTCTTTATCTTCCCAAGCTGAAACTCTACCCATCCAGCACTAGCACCCCATTCCCCACTCCCTCCAGCCCTTGTTAACCACCATTCGACTTTCTGTCTATGAATTTGCCTGCTCTAGGTGCCTCACTAAGTGGAATCATACAGTATTTGTGCTTTTGCGACTGGCTTCTTTCACTTAGAATAACGTCCTCAAGGCTCATTCATGTTGTAGCATGTGTCAGAATGTCCTTCCCCTTTCAAGGCTAAATAATATTCCATTGCATGGCTATACCACAATTTTTAAACCATTTATGCATCGGTGGACACTTGGGATGCTTCCGCTTTTGGCTGTTATGAATAATGCTATGAACGTGGGTGTGCAAGTAACTGTTTAGTCCCTGCTTTCACTTCTTTTGGTACTATACCCAGAGGTGGAATTGCTGGATCATATGATAATTCTATGTTTAATTTTTTGAGGAGGCTGCATATTCTTTTCCAAGGCAGCTGCACCAGTTTATATTCCCATCATCAGTGAAGGGAGGTTCCAGTGTTTCTACATCCTTGCCAATATTACTGTGTTTCATTCTTTGGATAAAAGCCATTATAATGGGTGTGAAAAAGTATCTCATTGTGGTTTTGATTGGAGTTTCCCCAAAACTGATCATCTTTTCATGTGTTTGTTGGCCATTTGTGTATCTTCTTTGAAATAAATGTCTGTTCAAGTCTTCTATCCATTTTTAAATCAGGTTGTTTGGGGGTTTTCGTTGTTGTTGGTATATATTCTGGATATCAGCCTCCTATCTAAGATGTGATTTGCAAATATTTTCTCCCATTCCGCAGGTTGGCTTTTAACCCTGTTGACGGTGTCCTCTGATGCACACAAGTTTTTAATTGTGGTATAGTCCAGCCATCTCCAATACCACGAGTCTTTTTCCTTATATTTTCTTCTAAGAGCTTTTCATAGGAGGTCTTTGATCCATTTTGAGCTGACTTTCACATATGGTATAAGGTGAGGGTCCAACTTCCTTACTTTGCAGGTGGATATCCAGATTTCCCAGCACCAGTTGTTGAAGACTGTCCTTCACCCACATCGAACAGTCTTGGCACGCTTGTCAAGAATCACTTGGCCGTATATGTGAGGGTTTATTTCTGAGCTCTCCATTCCATTCCATCTGTCTTTCCTTAGGCCACTACCACGCTGTGTTCATTGCTGCAGCTTTGTAGTCAGGTTTGAAATCAGGAAGTATGAGGCCTCTAATTTTGTTCTTATTTTTCAAAATTGCTTTGGCTATTCTGGGTCCCTTGAGATGTCAAATGAATTTTATGATAAAGTCTTCCATTTCGGCAAAAATGAGTTGGGGATTCTTGTGCAATGATTTGTTAAGGAAGTGCTCCCGTTGGGAAGTGAGGGTGACAGGACCTGGCAGGGGGACAAGCTAAATAGGTAGGTGGTTTCTGCTGGAATCCTATCCGATGGGGAGCTCTGGGATGGGAATTATGCCATGGAGAGGGCCCCACCCATAGGTCTGAGGGCTGCGCTCACATGAGTCAGGCATTGGCACAACACCCCAGGGGTGGAGGGCATAACCTCCCAGGTTGTCCCCCAGTGAGGCAGCTCCTCTCGGCTACGGACAATCTTCCAGAACAGACTGCAGCTGTGAGCTATCAGCAGCCAACCCTGGAGGCACCTGGGAGATGAACCTGCCCAGTAAAGGGGATCTAGGACAGGCACCAATGGCGTCTGCTACAAATAAGCCCCTCCAGAGTGATCATGCCGACAAATCTAAAGCACCGTACAAACATTGAATTCCCCTCCCTCAAAGTTCTTAAATAATAGCTCTCAAACCATACAGCTATTTTTACTGAGCACCTGTTTTATCTGCAGAGCTATGCTATAAGCCTTTCACCCTGACAATTCACCTATGAACTAGGTATTGTTATTGTCCCCATTTTACAGATGAGGACAGAGAGGTTAAGGCAGTCATTCAAGGTCACACAGCTTGAAGGAGTTGAGAATCAACCTGGTTGGCTTTCCTATTAGAGCCCTAGGTCTTAATCACTGGGCATCAGTTTCTCTCCCCAAAATTCACATGTGTCTGGGGAATGAACATGAGGCCTGAATGGAACTGACCTGTGTAGGAGACTTGTCAGACAGGGGGAAATGTTCTAGAGCAGGAATCAAAAAGCACAGTTCATTCCAGTCTGGCTGACAACTCTGCAGTTCATCACATTTGTGCAAGGGTTTTGATCTGGATGGAGCCTTAGAACCCCCACAAGGCTGGTCACAATACCGGTGGCTGGGCCCCACTCCCAGAGGGTCAGATTCAGAAGGTCTTAGCCAGGAACTGAGATTTTGCATTTCTGACACGTTCCCGGGTGGTGCTGCTCTTGCTGATCTGGGGACTGATTTAGTGCATCTGAGCCAGACGAACGATTCTGCTGTCTTCCTGCCCCATGCCGATCATGAAGCAGTTGTGCTGAGGAACGGAACCCCTGCTCTGTTGGCTGAGGTGGGTGCCTGCCTCATCTGACAGGCCCAGAACCCCTGAGATACAGACTCAGACAAATGTCCTCGCCACCTGGAGCTTGAGTGTCCCTGAGAGCCGGGAGACAGGTGTCACCTGGGAGCAAAGTCCAGGAGACAGACTGCCCTAGGCCCAGAAATCTGGCTAGAAGTTGGGGTCTGGGGCTTCACTTAAGCAGCCTTTGCCAACAAGAATACGGTTTTATTCTGAGTATGTATTTATTGGAGGTAGCTTTAGGGGGCCTACTGATGGAGAGCATGGGCGTATTCTCAAGCCAGTGGTATGCCTATAAACGGAATGTCAAATAAAACCCCCCAAACCATAAGGATGTGTAGCATATGACAATATCCAGGGTGACCCATTTCAACCTGTCAATGGTTAAATAACAGGCTCCAAAAATTTCTGAACGTTTAACAATCAATCTGCTCTTAGAACTGGTACGAGTAGGCCGTAGCATGCCACTGTATAGGCGTCCTGAAGCCACTGACACCTGCTACAACACGGAGGGGTCTTGAAATGTTATGCTGAGTGAAAGAAGCCAGACACAAAAGGTTGCATGTTGTAGGATTCCATTTAGGTGAAGTATCCAGAACAGGCAAATGCAGAGATGAGACAGGAAACAGTTTAGTGGTTGCCAGGGGCTGGGGAAGGGGGGATGGGGAGTGACTCCCTAATGATACAGGGCTTCCTTTTGGGGTGATGAAAATTCTCTGGAACCAGATAGAGGTGACAGTCACACACCATTGTGAATGTACACCCATGTGCACTGCAGCGTTATTCATGACAGCCCCAAAGGTGGGAGCAATCCAGGGGGTTATCAGTAGCTGAATGGATGGATAATCAAAATGTGGTCCATCCACACAATGGACTACTATTCAGTCTTAGACAGGAAGGAAGGACCGATGCATGCTACAACAGGGGTGAACCTTGAAAACGTCACGCTAAGTGAAATATGCCAGTCACAGAAGGACAAATACTGTATGATTCTGCATTTGAGACACTCAGAGTAGTCAATTTCATAGAGACAAAGTAGAATAGCAATTGCCAGGGGCTGGGGAAGGAGGAATAGGCAGTTAGTGTTTGATGGGGCCAGAGTTTCAGTTTGAGAAGATGAAACAGTCCTGGAGATGGATGGTAGTGCTGGTTGCACAACAGTGAATGTATTTATTGCAACAGAATTGTAAACTTATAAATGATTAAAATGATAAATTTATGTTGGGTGTATGTCACCATCCAAAAAAAAAAAAAAATCCTCAACCCTTAATACAGCCATCAATGTGACTAGAATCCATTGGTTCATTTATTCAACAAGTATTTTATTGAGCACCTGCCTTGTAGCAAGTCCAAAGGTAATGCTGGGATTTCAAAGGTGAGCCAAACAGACTTAGGATCCTTCCTGTGGTGTTCATAGTCTGCTGGGGAAGGGGGCGGGCATTTAAAAAGGTGTGTGTGTGTATCACTACATATCTATCTTGTACATCGTGAGAACTGCTACAAATAACAAACTGCATGAAAGGCTAGCTGGGGGTGGGGGGTGACATTTCCACTCTGCAGTCCGCTGAGTAAATGGGAAAGAATTGCAAATAAGTGGGACTCCCTGTCCCCAAGAAGAAACCCCCTAATCAGAAACATAAACAGCCCCCAAGGTATTCTTGGGAGATGGAAATATAGAGAAGTATCAGATGAGGGAGGGACATGGACATTTATGTGCATTATCACCTCACTTTCAGGGATGAAGGAAAGGTCGATGGACACCCTTGACTCTGAGGGGAATCTCACAGAAGGAAATGACTCTGCAGCCTGATAACCTTCCCTGAATCCTGCTTGCATCACATCCTCTCCTCAAGGACTGTCTGGAGTTCCACACCTCGTTTCCATGGAGGAAAAGGGACCGCTGCGACTTTGGGGAAGGTACTCTGTGATAGCTTTAAAAATTTTAAGTGCTCTTGCTCCCACTCAGAATTGTGCTGTTGGCAGTGCTTTGCAGGGACAGACGCGAGTAGACGTTGACTTACCGCGCAAACAACGACTGATACGCGTGGTTAGCCTGCCATGTGTCAAGTGCCATGTTTGTGTTCTCCATTGATTTCCCTCACGTCATCTTCGCGGTCACTAATCCCATTTTACAGATGAGGACAGTCACACCCAGAGAGGCCAGGAGCTCGCCTAAGGTCACACAGCAAGTGTCTAAGCCAGAAGTTGGCAAAGCCACCTGACTGCAGAGTCCCCACTCCCAGCCACTCTGCTATAGTCCCTTCTGGTGCTGTTTGCAGCAAAACCAGAAACAATCATCAGGAGAGGAATGATTGCATAGATTATGGCACACCCACTTAGGAAAATGTGAAAAAAAAATTTTTGTTTGTTGATCTGTATCACAATATCACAACAGTACAAGTGTCCATCGATCGATGGATGAATGGATAAAGTGTGGTGTGTACATACAATGGAATATTAAGCAGCCTTGAAAAAAGAGGAGATTCTCACACATACCACACTGTGATGAACTTTGAAGATATTCTGCTAAATGAAATAAGTCTGACCTGAAAAGACAAATATTGTGTGAGTCCACTTATGTGAGGGGGCCTAAAATAGTCAAATTCACAGGGACGGAAAGTAGAATAGCAATTACCAAGGGGCTTGAGAAAGGGGGAGTTAGTGCTTAATGAGGACAGTTTCAGTTGGGGAAGATGAAAAGTTCTGGAGATGGATGGTGGTGATGGTTGCACAACAGTGTGAACGTACTTAACACTGCTAACTGTATGCTTAAAATTGTCGAAATGGTAAATTTTCTCTTACGTATATTTTACCACAATAAACACACACACACACATACATAAGAGTTGATCTGTAAGAGCCAACAGGAAAAGATTGTTGGGGCTTATTATTTTATTTTTTTAGAGAGAGAGAGTGGGAGCAGGGGTGGGGGAGGGGCCGAAGGAGGAGGAGAGAGAGAATCTTAAGCAGGCTCCACGCCCAGCACAGAGTCTGACTTGGGGCTCTCTCTCATGACCCTGAGATCGTGACCTGAGCTGAAATCAAGAGTCGGACGCTTAACCGACTGAGCCACTCAGGTGCTCTGGGGTTTATTATTAAATACACTAGAAAATGGTCTAGGTCCTCTGTTACTGAGCTTTAAGTGTGGTCTGGAACCAGGGTCCCCAGCATCCTCTACAGGCTTGTTAGAAATTCAGAGTCCCAGGCCCTGACCCAGACCTACTGAGTCAGCATCTGCATTTTAACCAGGTCCCCAGAAAATTTGTGTGCGTGTTCAAGTCTGAGAAGCACAGCTGTGGAGTATTTATGGTTCTACAGTCCTAGGCGTTCTGGAAGGATCCCTAAGAAACCAGACTGGTTGCTTCTGGGGAGAAGGACTGTATTGGGAATGGGGACTTTTTGCATGGGAAGGAAATTTTTTTTTTACTTTTCATTTTAGACCTTTCTGCAATGTTTGCCACTTTTAACCTGCGCATCTATTACTTTAGTAATCCGTATAAATAACAATAGCAACTATTTACAGAGCTCTTGTTGATCATGTGGCATCTGCTAAGCCTGTTACAGATGCTTTCATCTGTGGAATGGGAATGACAATGGGATCGCAGGACTGCTATGAAGGTTAAGGGGAAAATCATGGGCATTGAGCTTCCTTTGACCTGGCCGCATTCAAGTCACCTTTCGGCTTGAGCTCGGAGTATTCGGACCTTTGTGAAATGTGACTCCGAGAAAGTGGCTTACCTCTCTGCAGTTGTAGACCAGGATCTGTTCACATTCTTGTGAACAGGCACACAACCAGAAGCCAAGGCACCTTTATTTAGGAAAACTTGTTTTAAGACAGACGTACAGAGAGACCTTTGACACTAAATTACACTCAGAAATCGGCCAGACTGCATTTTGAATCGGTCTGGTTCCTAAAAGTATTTATCAACCATCGGAGCCGAGATTTCCCAAGGGGCCGGGGGGGGGGGGGGGGGCGGGGAGGCGGCAGGAAATGTGATACGAGAGAAAAATCGCAGTGACGTATGTTAAGTGTATGGGGGCTCTGAAACAGGTTGGCTCACAATTTCTTGGCATTTGTTGTATATATACAGCATGTAATTTACCAAAATAGCAGAGAACATTTATTTCATATAATTTTGCTATTTAAAGAAGAGAAGAGCTCGAGGAGATGGCTGTCAACTTAAAGGTCTTGTTTGTACCATCATGTAATTCGCTCCAGTACCTTAAATTAGGGTCTGAGACTCAGTTAGGGTATTTCAGATAAGGAAGTTTCTTCTCTTTTCATCTGAGCTTCTGGACTTTGATCCTCTGAGTTGATGAATCTACCAGACCAAAAAGGAAGCTTACTCCTAACTGATTTTCACAGGGTGGCATTTAGTGTCCTGTCATGAAGAGAGGTGGTCTGCCCCAGGGAGAAGAGAGTCCAGCTCTGGCAAACAGACTGACCTGGGTTTGGATCCCTTGTCATGCCCCTCCATTGCTGTGTGACCCTGGGTAGGTTACTTAAATTCTGTGAGTCTTCGTTTCCTCCCTGATTGGATGGAGACGGTAATGCCCACCTCACAGGGTTGCCATGGAGACAAAAGGAGTCAATATAGACAGAGTGTCTGGCACAATCGTTCAGTATTTCAGTGTTTACCGAGTGAGTGCTGACCGTGTGCTGAGTGCTGGGATAGATACCAAAGGGGACAAAAATAATAGATGTGGTCCCTGCCCTTATGGGGCTGGTGCTCTATTTGGAAAGATGATAACAAAGAAACTGTAATGGATTTGCACATGCGTCGATCTTGAGAGGGAAACAAAAGGGGTGTCAAGATAAAGAAGGGAGGCTGAGATCAAGAGGGCAGGGAAGGTGGCGCACAGATGGTGGAGGGGGGGCAGAGCAGGGAGAATGGCTGGTGCAAAGGCCCGGAGGCAGGACCAAGGTGTGGAGGTTGGAGAGACGGGCCAGATCACACAGAACTCTGGACACTACAGTGAGGATTTTCCATGTTCTGCTGAGACCGAGGGGCCGCCACTGAAAGCTTTCAAGCAGGCTAGAGAGGGTGGAAGATGATTAGAGTTGAGCTTGAGAAGATAACTCATTAGGCACGTGTTTCCACAAGAGGAGGAACAGATTGTGGAGAGTGTTTTAAAATATGATTTTATTGGGCGCCTGGGTGGCTCAGTTGGTTAAGCGACTGCCTTCGGCTCAGGTCATGATCCTGGAGTCCCGGGATCAAGTCCCACATCGGGCTCCCTGCTCAGCGGGGAGTCTGCTTCTCCCTCTGACCCTCTTCCCTCTCGTGCTATCTCTCATTCTCTCTCTCTTTCAAATAAATAAATAAAATCTTAAAAAAATATGATTTTATTATTATTTAGGTATAGCAAGGCCAGCAGATCAAGAGACGACTGCTGGGGGAAAAAATATACCCTGTAATACTCCCAGATTGTAAGAGGAGCCTGCCACACCTCAGGCGCCATAGGGGGAAGCACCTGAGTTGGTAAAAAGGCAGGGGGAGTGGAGGGGGAAAGGTGGGCAAGAGCCCTTATCCTGGCTTCCACAGGAAAGAACAGGTGAGGCAGGGTAAGCAGGCTGGGGACTGGCCAGTTTGAATAATGTCAGCGGGTTCTGGGGCACAGGGGTTGTCTGGTACTTGGCCCTGGGGGTGAAGAGAACAGGTGGAGATTGACTCTGGATTGGTTACTTTGTGCACGAACACTGACAGGTGAATCATTGCTAGTTAACTCCGGGAGGGACAATTCCTCCAGGGTCAGCAAAGCCCCAACATGTCAAAACTCTAGACTGTGGAAAATAAAAGGCATCCTTAACACAGAAGGTTGGCAAGAAAGGAAATGGGGAGACCAAGGAGGAGGCTGTGTGGTCAGCTGTGTGAGAGGTGACGGTGGCTTGGTAGGGGGACTGCAGTGGGGGAATGATGGAGGGGAGCTGAAGCTTTTGTCATTTGTCCTCCCTCCCCACCACCCCCCAATCAGTAGAGGAAGACATCTTTCCTGGGAGATCCGTCTGCAAGGCATAACAAGTGCCCACTTGTTTGGGGAACTCAATCGGCAATGCTGACGACAGCACCCCTCCGTTTTGTCCCAAGAGCTCAGCTATGTCACACAGGGGCTTCTTTGGAATCTGAGATCTATTGGCAAATGGGATTAGATGCTGTGAACGCAGAGCAGTGGAAATTGCCAAGGTCCCTTAAAATAGGACTTGCTTTTTGTTTCCTTTAAGACAAGACCTGGGCACTCCCTGATCTCTGTGATTTGGGAAGCGCCTTTTCAGGGGCTGGACCTCTGTCTTCAAATATTTGAGGTGTGGGCATGTGAAGGATGGTGCTTGTTCAACTTGGACCCCGAAACCAGAGCTTGAGCTTCTGGGTATAAAGAAGAGGGGAGCAGATTTCAACAGTCCGGGGAGCCTTCTTAGGCAGAGAAGTCCAGAGATGAAAAAGGCTGCTTTTGAAGGCAGTGAGTTCACCTTCATGACAGATGGTCTAGGAGAGTTGGGTATCCATCTGTGTGGACCCAGGGGTGATGATATTTAACATGTAGCACTTCGGTATGCCTACATGCTATATATACTTACTGTCTTATATTATCTCTTCAACAACGCTGGGAGGGAGGTGTTATTAAATCCCCAATTTATAGACAAGTAAATAGAAGCTCAGAGGTATTACACCAATCGGCCCAGGTTCCCTAGAGAGTAGATAGGGCACTACAGTCACTGGCCTAAGTAGCTCCACAGCCTGTAGTCTCAACCAGTTAGCTGATGCTTCTCTGAGGCCAAGAACACCCCTAGAGAACTGATTAAAATGCCAATTCCCGGGTCATTCTCCTGACCTAACACTGGTGCACCTCCACAGAGTAGAGCCCAGGGATCTGAATTTTAATAAGCCATTGATGGTGGCCACATAAGTTTGAAAGCCACCACTTGATGCCCTCCTGCCCTGGATTGGGGAGATAAGATCTGAGGGCTTGGATACAATGGGTTTTAAGGTCCCTTCCATTCCTAAATGTCTAGAAGTCCATAATTAAGGGAAATTTTAGTTTTCTGTGGATTTTATTTGTTTGTATTTTCCTGCCAACCCCATCGACCTGGATAGCATTGATCTTGTT